AATAAAAATATTATTTTATTTTCGGGTTATAAAAATGCGTGTCGATAATCATGCCCTCCGGAATAATCATTTAAAATGTTATTGTTTAATTGTTATGTTTATTTTTCCATGATAAATATTGTTTAAAAACGCCTGATAATTATGCACCAACCCAATACCTGGTCTTTGAACAGGTGTAGAATTGTGTCCCTTGTTTCTTGTTCAGGATTGGTTCTCCGGTTTTTCTAAAGTCTTCTCATTCTCTACCATTCCCAGTTACCCCTTGGTTCTGGTGCTCTTTCTTGGGGTGAACTGATGATAAAAAATACCGTAGAAAAATTGGCCAAGCCTCCTCGGCACTCCTCGGCACTCCTCTTATTACGGACGTCTCAGTTACCGGATAATGACGCTAGTCCCCTCCCGAAAGAAAGATACTAACCGGGAGGAGGTCCACCAGGGACATGAGCTTATAATTAATTTCAACTTTCCCGGCAACTTTCCCACGTTGCTATTGAATGTAAATAAAAGGTCGAAGCTTTTGCGGAGGTTTAAATTCGGTTTCCGGGTATACCGTGGAAAAATTGTTCAAGCCTCCTAGGCACTTCCCGTTATGGAAACTGTCCTACGGGTAATGACCCCATCATCCTTCCGAAGGAGTGGTACTGGCTGGAGTGATTCCTCCTCCCCCACTGCGGCTTAATATTCATTTTCAACTTTTCCGGCATAAACTAGGAAGGATACACTCCTTGAAAGATTGATTTTTCAGTGCGCCCACGTCGTAACCAAATATGACACAAGGTTGAGGGCGGTTTACCGGCAAAAAAAGGTCGACATTCTGAAAGGTCTTGGCAGATAAAAGTTGATAGGATATCTGTGATTTCTGTTTATTTATTTAGTACTACTTAAATAGACTGGTCTACCTATAAAAAAATAGGAAAATCTTTTTGTAAATAATTTTTATAGATTAGCATTCATTAGAACTTTTCAAGCAGCGGCATTTGTCTGAATGTTTCATCGATATCGATACAGTGCGAAATTGACCCTAATTTTTACAGAATTATCTGGACTTAGCTTTTCTTTACAAATTTGTTACCATGAAAATGTGCTAAAGTCATTGATATTTACATATTTTTATAACTTTCTAATTTGGGAATGGGATATTCCCACGTGTCCGATTCGACATAGGAATTTTTCGACAGAGGGACGATAAGGCGTTAGATTACTACTTCGTCGTTACCGTCAAATTTGCTCTCTCTCTCTCTCTCTCTCTCTCTCTCTCTGTCTCTCCCTCAGTAGTCAAATTAGTACTTCGTCGTTATATGCGCGAATAGTCCAATTTAAGAAAAAGAGTAGTTGGAGGCATTTTTATACTTAAGAAAAGGGTAGTTATTAAGAAAAGGAGTAGTTCAGAAAGGGCGTGATGAATTTCTCAAAAAATTGTTTCCTGGATATCCACCCCCAAAAAGCTAAAAAAAAAAAAATATACAGATGCTGACGAACAAATAAAAAGTCATAATGGAAGTTAAATCATTAGATCCTATTGAATCCCTGAAGGGTGTTGTTCATAATTACGAAATGAAGAAGTAATTTCTAAGATTAAATACCTTTACTAAGTTTTTTTTTTTTTTTTTTTTTTTTTTTGTTAATTTGCAGTGTAACACCCGAGCTCAGTTCGCAGTAAGTTACATTTCTGCGTAATTGTACATGCTCCATTCAAACATGGCTTGATAAATTTGATAAAATCTACCATTTGGAGTTATCAACAGTGAAAGTTCGGATTCATTCGTGTCGCGGGCAGCCATTACTGGCGTTGTTTTCATTCATTCGCTGCAGAATAGCTATCAGTGTAGGTATCATTGCGCAAACTGAGCGTGTCTACGTAAATAGTTCTTGTTTGCAGTAATTGAGACAAATTTAGACGAGAAAGATTAGTTCCGCACTTAGCTTTCCGTAGTCTTCCGCGTTTAGCTTTCCGCAGCGAATGTTTGCAAAAAATGCCAGTAATGGCTGCCGCCAATGACACAAATGAATCCGAACTTTCACTATCGATAACTCTAAGACGGTATGTTTTATCATATTTATCAAGCCAGATTCGAGTGGAGCATGTATAATTACACATAAATGTAAGTATTCTGGAAATTTTTAATGCGAACTGAGTGCGGATGCTAAACTGCAAATTAAGAGTACTTTTTAATGTTTTTTGAAATACTGTATTATTAATTTAAGTTTTTAATTTACATTATTCCATTAGTGTTTTAATAGGATCATTAATTTCCTAAATAGATAAAGTCATACTGAAAGTTGGGTGTTTTCAATACTTTTATACTTTTTTTTTTTTTTTTTTTTTTTTTTTTGCCTCTGGTCAAAGACAGTGACGTCGAAACTGTCTGACGCCTAAACGGTTGTGCCAAATAGTCTAATTATTTTTCTGACCCCGAATCAGCCACGCCAAATGGGCTACGCCGAAAAGTACCAAACCCTTCTAATTTATGTCCGATTTTGTTCTTTATTTTAAAAAATGTATAAATCTGTTTGCCTTTTAATTAATAGAAGTCTGTTTTGTAAAAAAAAAAAATCTATTAAAAAAAAAAAATCTTTCACCGGGCAAACAATTGCTTGTTTAAAATATATATATTCATTTTTTCTTGTGTTACACTTTTAGTCTCTTTTCTGGTTCATCTCCCCTCCCCCACCATTTCATGAATCATGAAATTTTTATATATTTTTTGGTATTATAGACATCGAAATTTTTATGCCATGTAGTATTTTGTAGGTCCCCTGTTAATATGCGGTATTGTGGTATATGCAGGATTGAGAGGTGATGGATGTATTCTTGTGGTGTATGAGTAAATTGTATGAATGAATAGATCGTGAGTCGGATTAATTAGGACTAGGATAGCTTACTAAGACCGTCCCCTTCTAATTCCCCCCTCGGCCTTGTGTCACAATTCTGTATTGTTCAGAATAAATCTCATATATCTATTTGTTCTTTATTTAAAAGAAATATTTTTGTAAAATAAAGAAGTCTGTTTTCTTACGCAGATATCAATGACGTGGGCAAAAATTCAGACTTGGAATTTGTAAACAAATAGCTAGTTCCGAAAACTCTGTAAAAATCAGGACTCGATTCGGCGCGGTATCAATATTATGAATATTTCTTTCTATGTGCCGTGTCCTTTCAGGACGTAGGCGATCATAGCTCCCCACCTGCCTCTATCTCTTGCAGCTCTCAACAAGTTCCTTCCCTCTGCTTGCTCCCCCAGACAACGTTGTCATCCACTTTCCTCCAGGTATGTCATGCGTTGTTTTCGCTTGTCTCTTTTTTCCCTCAATTCGACCCGTGAGTATCAGATTCTCTATGCATTCTTTCTTCATTATGTGTCCCAGAAACTTCAGCTGCTTCTTCCTGATATTAAGTATAAGCTTCGTCTTTGTTTGCAACCTCTTTAAGATCTCATCGTTGCTCACATGCTCGGTCCATGATATCCTTAGCATCCTTCTGTAGAACCACATCTCTGTCGCCTCGAGTCTCTTCTTCATCTTTGAGGAAATCGTCCAAAATTCGTAAAGAAGAACAGATGTCACGTAATAGTTCAGTATTCTTTTCTTTGTTACCAAAGATATCCTCCTGTCTCCAGCTTTTGGAATGTGTCTTTGGCCATCCCAAAAATTAATAAGAAAATCAATAATTTTCGATTCTGACAAATGGCGTGACCTAAGGAGGTTCTAAATAATGATAATATACAATAATTATTTTTAAAGAAAATGTTCACTATTTTTATACTGGGGACCACTCTATTCAAAGTGCATCGTTCATTTATTTATTGTTACTATTTTTTTATGGAAGGCGACAGACAAAAATATTTTTCTATGCGTAAAAATGTCCTTTTCTGTCAATATTTATAAATTTAAACAAAACATTTTCTGTATAATATTTTTTCTTATACAAATGCAGATGTGCGAGAATTTTTTTTTTTTTTTTTTTTTCACCCTTTCTTTCTTTCGCTTATTTTTTCCTTTCGTGTGTTCTCCCCTCAATTGTAATCTCAAAATCCTTTGCACCAGGTCGATACACCGTTAGATAAGTTAGTCCCTTCGCCATGTTACGGATGCGCTCGGACCCGTAAAATTCTACGTATGCAGTGTATTTACACGGCTAAACACTCATATTTACAAAGCACCGCGTGTGCACACATGCTCATGTTTGTGCAAGAAATAAAAAAAATAAAATAAAGGATAGAGAATATCAGACTGGGAGCCATGTCTGTGACACGTGATCTGGTTTATGTCTTCCGGATGTGCAAGTAAAAATAGCGAAACAGACAACGTCGTAAACATGACGTTGCTTTCCCCTTCCTGTTCTTTCTAACCCCTCAATCATTTCTCGCCTTCCCGGCATTCAGCCAGCCCAAAAAGTACAAGGATAAAATAAACTAAATTAAAACAAAGAGTCGACTGGGTTTTCTATTTTGAATACACATTGTATTATCTTGCAGAATTTAATTGGAAATACGGCGTTTCTGCTGGCTATAGCATTTATAGATGTTGTCGCCGTTATTACAGTTCAGAATAAGATGGACGCTTGTTTTATTTTTAGAGCGACGGTTAAAAAACTAGTCCAGTAAATATAATAGTCCCAAAATACAAGATTATTGTATCTGGTAATTCGATTATGCCAAAGTGGAACTGTGAAATGCTTCCTTTAAGATTGATTGATTGATTCGTTTTTTGTTTTGTTTTTTGTTTGTTTGTTTTTTACGGCTTATCTTGTCATTGAAAGTTACTTAAAGTCATAAAATGGTTTTAGATTGTAAGAATTTCTTTTGGATAATAATGGTTTAGTGATGCAAGTCTTACTAATTAACCCATAGCTAGGTTAAATAGTAATGGTATTTACGCATGAGTGAATAACGAACCCAACTGGAATTGGAATTCGTCTCTCTGATTAACAATTCTGAGCCATTATCCATTACACCACCAACACCAAAGGCTTTTCAAAGCGATGTGACCGCAAATCCAAACTTACAGCAGCTGGTATTCCCAAGCGGTCACCAATCTAGGTACTGACCAGGATCGACGTTGCTTAACTTCAGTGATCGTACGGGAGTCGGTGTTTCAAGATGATGTGGCTGTAAGCCAGCCTTTAAGAGAAAAGGTGCAATTTATTGACGTAATATGGAAAGAACAGTTTGTATGTTGAAGTTGTTGAGATAAATAGTAGGAATGAATATGCTATCCGTCACATACTATTTATTACAATATATTGCTATAATTGTGATATGTTATTATTAGTTAGTGTCGGTAATCTCTTAAGGTACCTAATAAGATCCACGGTAAAAAAAGAATATCATAACCGTCACATAAGGTTTATTAGTATATTGCCATAATTGTGCCATGTTATTCTGAGTTAGTGTCGGTAATATCTTAATGTACTTATCAGATCCATGGTAATAAAGAATATCCTATCAGTCACATAAGCTTTATTAGTATATTGTTATAATTGTGATATGTTGTTATGAGGTAGTGTAGGTAATCTCTTAATGTAACTAATAATATCCACGGTAAAAAAAATCATATCCGTCACATAAGGTTTATTAGTATATTGCTATAATTGTGCAATGTTATTATTAGTTAGTGTTGTTAATCTCTTAATGTACCTAATAAGATCCACGGTAAGAAAGAATATCCTGTCACATATGCTTTATTAATATATTGCTATAATTGTGCTATGTTATTCTGAGTTAGTGTTGGTAATATCTTAATGTACTTATCAGATCCATGGTAATAAAGAATATCCTATCATTCACATAAGCTTTATTAGTATATTGTTATAATTGTGCTATGTTTTTATTAGTCAGTGTTGGTAATCTCTAAATGTACCTAATATGATCCACGGTAAAAAGAATACCCTATCCGTCGCATAAGCTTTATTAATATATTGCTATAATTCTGATATTTTATTGTTAGTTACTGATAGTAATATCTTATTGTACCTAATAAGAACTACAGTAGTTCCCAAACTACATGAATTCAAACGTGCTACTAGGTCGGCATCTTAGTCCCCCTCTTTCTCTGTAGAAACGGTTAATGTAGCCGTTTCTTCTACTCCAATAGCTTCATGTCTCGCACTTCCCGTCTGTGGAACTCCCTTCCTCTTACTTGCTACTCTGATAGCTATAATCTCCAACTATTCAAATGCAATATCGATCGATATCTCCAAATGCCTTGATCTATTCTCTGTCCCTCTCTTCAGCCTGTCCTCTATCACGCCTCTTTCCCCTTGCTCCCATTCTCTGTAACCCCTTTCGTGCTAGTGACACTCCCGCCTTGCTTGGGGTGAAAAGCTTAAAAAGAACAAATCCGTCACATAAGCTTTATTACAGTATCTTACTATAATTGTACCCTTTTATTATTAGTTACACTCAGTAATATTGTGACGTCGTCCCCTGGTCGCAGCGCCAACTGTGACGTTCTATTCTGGTCTACCACGGCACCAACTGTGACGTCCCTAAACGTCACCAATTGTGACGTCCTCGCCGCGGCGCCAGCTGTTCGCTCCTCGCTGCTCCGTTCGGGTGTCGCTGCTCCAAACGTGACGTCCGCCTGTCGCGTCAGTCGTGTTGTCTCGTCCTGTGACGACCAACTGGCTTGGTATCGGTCGCGGCACCCAAATGTGACGTTCTAACCTTTTGGTGATCCGGATGGGAATCTGGTTAGATTTGATATCAGCCTCGTCGTTCCCAACTCGCTTCCAACGCCTGGTTACCAAGGTAACTGCATTGATCCCCAGTCTGCCTACCCACGTTGTGAATTGATCTTAGGCAGACGAGATCAAACAGTGGTTGGGGCCGTAATGCAAACCGAGTTCAACGGGGGGTGATACCACACAAATATGCATAAAAAGAAATGAAAACTCAAAAGTTCAAAGTATCAAAGAAAAAGGTAACAAACTTTATGTCTAGTTGTTCGATACATAGGACTGCATCTATCTCCCGACCCGTTCTATGGATTGTGACACGTCGTTTTCTGTTAGGCAAGTTTTAACGCTTCAAGTTGTTTGCTCTCTAAGAAATTGGTGTTTCGGTGTGTCTTTGGACGAAAGTCGAAAAAAAACTTATTGTGGTGGTCTGGATCTAAGTCGCTCTTCAAAATAATTGTTCTTGGGTTGAAGAGGAGTCCGGAATTTGCGTGAATCTTGGTCAGCTATCTGCGAGGCGTCTTCAACTGGAGACTGACTCTCCGCTGCAACTCCAACTCAAACTGAAATTGGAACTGGAACTGATTTCTGCTCGTTGTGGCTTCGCTTATATGGACGCCGACCAAAACCGGGGTGGGTCTGTCGGCGTCGGGGTTTCCTCGATAATTCTAAATACATATCCACCTCTCTGGTTAGGAATTTCCACTTTTTTTTCCATTTTTGGGAACCTTTCCTCACTCCCACCTTCTCACCATACTTCAGAGGGCATGAACTGCCCTCCCCTCTTCTTCGTAGCAGCTTCTCATATCTACACTCTGGATGGGCGGCGACAGCCTCCTTCGTGCGTCACGTGATCACCACTTGACCAATGATGTCTTAGTCGGGCGTGGACGAATCCGCGGCTTTGTTTCAGGAAAAAATATATATATCTTGCTTAACTAAAAAAAATTATCCCTTCTTTTCCTTTTCTTCCTCTTAATCGCCGTTATCATTTCTCTAGCCGCAAACGGGACAATATGAACAATGGCGGTCATAACTCTTGTTCTACACGTGGTTTTCGTCAGGTATTTTATCGCTAATTATCCGAATGGGTGGTCTTCTTAACACGGCCAACATCTCCCCGAAAAAGACATTTCTAAATTCCCATTCATTTCCCTTCGGTACATATTTCTGATAACATAATTTTATTATCGCAGGCCAAGGATATTCCGTCGAAGGAAATCGGTCAGCGGACACTCGTGGGTGGCTTTTAATTTTTTTATATCTGTCCAAAGTCCTTTTAGTTGCCTGTTTTTCGTCACTTATCGAAATAACATTTTCATTTGAATTTTTCTTTAGCCAGTCGGTCTGTAGTTGATAATAAGATGCCTTCCCGTACCAATAGTTTGTTTTCATATCCTTAGATAACACAGCCGTCGCCAAAACATATCTGATTCTTTCTTTCTTTCCCTTTCTTTTTACTCAGAATTTCCCTGTCATTGTAATGACACCCTTTCGCCATTTGTTACTTATCAAAATATCCCTTATCCATTGTCTCTTAGCCGTGTGTGTGTTCTGCTTATCATCCACGATTCGGTCCTTAGCCTCTCCTTTTCTTCTTTTCTTTCTTTTCTTTTTCTGCCTCGTTAAATGGTGCCACAATATCTTATTTACATAATATGATCTAAGGTAGAAATAATTTACATAATAATTTACATAATATGATCTAAGGTAGAAACGAATACCCTCTCCGTCACATAATCGTAATAACAGTATATTGCTATAATTGTGATTTTCTTTTATTGTTTTGTTACTCTCAGCAATCTTTTATTGTACATAATATGATCTCCGGTTGGGACAAATCTTCTATCCGTCACATAATCGTAATTACAGTATATTGCTACAATTGTGCTATTTTATTGTCAGTTGCTGTCAGTAATCCCGTATTGTACGTAATAAGATCCACAACCTTCTGCAAATTAATTGAAATAAAACGAATAATTCCGTTATTATTTACTTTTTTTTCGTATTTTTCCAATGAAACATGACCCTGTGTACATGTTAGTACTTCGTATGTCTATTCCACGAAGTCGTTCCTTACAGATTAACCACAGATTCTCAATTGGATTTAAAGTTTCCGGGCCAATCTATAGTACTTTGATTTGCTCACTGGTAAGGCTTGCCAGTGTATTCGTGCAACGTTACAATTTTCGTGCGCTTTCTTCGAGTAACGTCCATCGCAGACGATGGCCGTAAGACAACTAATCGACAGTCGAGACAATAGTGTCTGGGGTGTGGTAAAAATCTGATGCAGTCACGGATGACGCAATCTTTTTCAAGGCCAAACAACTTTCCTCACACACCACTGCAAATGGCCTAATCTGAGGGAAAATAGAAATCGACTACACCCTGTCACTCCAGTTGGTCTAAAACTGACTGTATGGTAAAAGAAAGGAAACTAAAGCGGTTGTTTCAATTAATTTGCACAAAGGCGTACGGTAAGAACGAATATCTTCACCGTCACATAACCGTTATTACAGTATATTGCTATAATTGTGCTATTTTATTTTTATTTACTAAATCTGCCATACGTCACTTTTTTAATAATTTCACCCAAGTGCATGTGGAAGAGAATGAGAAGACTTTATTGAGGCAAAAGTACAATAGCCAGTAACGAAACTATTAGGACATAAGTTACGGTTACAGCTACATGTCTCGAGAGTAAAATGATGAAACCTACTTGCCAATCCAGTAATAAGCTTAAATTCATGTAGTCGAATTACCACGGAGAAGAGATCATTAGAAGAATTGGCACGAAAATATTTATAGAAAAAACGGAGGAAGCCACCTTATGGCGGAAGGGAACTGGCTGAAGTCAAGACGCCATGTTTGACACGACACAGTGGACCAACTTTTCTAGCAGTTGATCCAATATAATCACTTGTCTGACACGACACAGTGGACCAACTTTTCTAGCAATTGATCCAATATAATCACTTGTCTGACAAGACACAGTAGACTACTTTCCGAGCAATTGATCCAATATAATCGCTCTACTCAATGTAATTTGAAAACGTGAGACTGAGAAGAAGCAATGAGTTGCTTTCATAGACTTTAGCATCGGCCACGCTGAGAGAATGTAAAGATGGGTCTTTATGATGATTAAAAGATATCAGTTTCGTTCTGAAGGTGTTTACAAGTCATTTCTTGTCCCAGTTAATAAATTATTGGAGTTCATTTTCTAAAGCTTTTGCTAGTGTGACTTTGTCAGACCTATTGAACTTACTCTTCAGACAGGAATAAATAGCATAAATATCTCGCGGGGATTTGATAAAATCGGAAAGTCGTTGATGAAAAGAAGAAACAATGTATTTCCAAAGATAGAAATAGGCATTGAGGTCAACATCTATTATTTTGATTAAATAAATTAAATAAAAAATATATATATATATATATAT